ACGCCTATTCTGAAGTAAACAAACGTTTACTACGTTAGCAACGCTTATCAAAATGTCAACTCAAAGCATAGATGCAATTTTATATTATATTCTATCTCATACTTACCATCGAGTGCCCTAACGTGCCGATCAGTGTGCTACGATGTATTTCGGCACAGTGTGTAGAGTTGATTGCCTCTTGACTGCATCATTTTGTACATAAAATATTTTAAATCTTTATTTCCTTCTATCTAAATGATGCATCGGAGATGTAACGCTACCAATCCGCACACAAACTTCATTTATCTTTGATTTTTAATCCGAACTTTCATTTGTTTTATTGATGCTTTTCGTGTTGTTATGAGGGCATAGCCTTCTGCGAATAGTTTTGGTCCAGTGCTTCAAAGTTTCATTGGCATTGGCTGTCAGTGACGATTGTCAATTTCGGATGTCAAATCTGATGTCAAATGTTAAATTTTCTCTGAATTGGCAATATGCAAACACCTGTAAAATTAAAATCAAAGCAATCATGTTCCTCCACAGGCAATCCCCCAAACTAAAAGTGGTTCCATCTTGTACTGTAATCATGGATGGCACAAGGGTTGAGTGGTCCGCCCAAATAACCTATCTTGGGATGTTGTTCGATGAAAAGTCTGTCTACAAACAAATCATAGCACCTGTGATCTTCTACGCAGCTCCGGTGTGAGAATCATGTGCACAGACTCATAGGAACAAACTCCAAGTCACTCAGAATAGAGTGCTGGGGATGGCCCTTGATCATCATCCCTTCGATACAAGAATTTCCGATCTCCACCTAGAGGCGAACGTTCCTAAATATGATTTTAAAATTTCTGACATGAAGACTAGATTTTAGCATTAGCATTAGCATTAGCATCGAACAAGTTGCACAATATCGTAGGTGGTACGAATTTGAAACTATTAAGAGCAAGACGGATATCTATTACTGGACAGATATTAAGTAGGAAATAATTACTGTCTCCCAGATAAAGACATATCCCCCTGCAACAGTTAAGGATTGTCCTGGCCACGTCCTTGCAACTGGTAGGGATAGGAAAGGTATGTTAGTCCAACATTTACTTAAGAGAAATGCAGAGAACTCTACGACCCCTCATAAATGTCTCGGGAATTTAGGAATTATGTTAGTAGGAAGGCAAGCCAGTGTCAGTGTTGCTGGCAAATGTAGATTTTTTTTAAATAAATGGTGGAATTGCTGTCCAAAGCGTCTGCTGTTTTGTTCACAAAATATTAAACTCAGCCGATTAACGCAACATCAATACACAAGACGAAGTTCAATCTATACCTGACATAATATGCCAGATGAACCTGAATAATGGGATATACCTACTCTCTCAGTGCCCATTAGACTGATGGAAAATCCAACATTTCCGCTCCACAGCGCTCAAACGGCCCCAAAGCCCCCCAAAACCCGAACCCATCTGGTAAGAAAATGACAGGGCACTAACCGTCCAAACCGTCCAAACCGTCTGTATGGAAATTACTATGGGAAAACCAAACATTCTGCTCATATCCATCCATCAATTTACCGTATTGCTCCGCTTCAAAAACGATAACTGAGCCTGAAGCAAACTCTCTCAGCCACAACTCTATGCAAGACCACTTTTCGATTGAATGTAAGCTATTAATGATCCAAGCAACTAACGTCCCATGATTATGCTCAATCAACTGTCCAGAAGGCAACACTGGTGTTTCAGGCGCGTAGAATAGAGCACAAAAATCATGGCTAATATGTCAAACTGCAGAACACAGTGTCGCCCACAAAACAGCAGCCCGATCATGCTACAAGACTATCAATCCCTTAAACAATCAACAACTATTTTAAACGAAATTTCTCTACAAGAACAGCCACATAACTTTTGAACAGTGCAACACGGAAAAGGCCAGAAGGCAACGAACAAGAAGTACGGATACCCCACAGCAACCCCCATTCAAATCTCCACCGGGCTGCACCAAGCCAGTCCCCCACCAAAGGAGTCCAAACCCCGGGAGGCCAATCAGGACCCGACCCGGGACCGTCCGAACACTGTGGAGCATAAATGTCAAACCAATCATACAGAAAGAGCTAGATAGTATTCTAGTACTGGCAACAATTTTTCCAACTCCTCTAATGATCTAGCGCATATACAAGGATAATTGGGAACATCCCAACAAACAATTTTAGCCGATTAAAAGCTGAATAAGCCATTTTTAAGCTGAAGAAGCAAGATTTTGGCTTAATATGCTCTTATTCAGCATTCAATGTTCGTTGGGATTAAGCTGACCGTCTCATTTAGTTTTAACATTCCGTCCAATTCATCCTCAACGGTCAAAAGAACTTCCTCCATAATCAAATCAAATATGTAGGAAGAGAGTGGACAACCCTGTTTCACTCTTCTAGACCTCATTTGAGACGTAGTTTTTTGCCCATTCCACAGCACCTGTTGCTCCTCTGCATTGATGCAATTAATCACTCTATTTGCAATTCCTTCGGAGGCACCTTTACTGACATAAAGACTAGATTTGTGCAGAAATTCCGCACATCAGAACATGCTTTAATAAGCAATTTGTTTATAGTAGGTTAGGTGCAGGGTTGCTTCCACTCATTTGCTATAAAAAAATGATTTTCTGAATTATGAAATCATAAGATGTTATAATGATATGCTGTACTTGTAAGTTACAAGAAAAGGTTTTAAAGTATGTGTTTCACTCATAAAACCTGACATCATCGATTTTATGATTCATGAGCGTTCACTCAGAGTGACTGCTCACGAATCGAAAAATCGCTAATAGTGACGCTCTGAAAGCAATATTGACAGGTTTTATGTGTCAAACACATGCTTTACAACCTCTTCTTGTAACAGACAAGTACTAATTATAATTATAACATCTAAACATTTCATAATTCCGAAACACTTTTTTTTATAGCAAGTGAGTGGACGTAAGGTAGAGAATGCTCTAAACAGGCATGATAGGACTAGGAGCTTAAATAATAATTATAATAAAAAAATCAAATTATCTAAAGATGAAATGGCATCTGTGTCACTTGAGAATTCAAATATGTAAACCACACAATTACAAGAAATAAACCTAATTTAAAATTCTAATGTCATCAAATGAGAACAATCCAGATGAAGAAGGGACTTCTGTTTTTTTTTTTTAAATGGGGTATCATCACCGCCGGGCACAAAGAGAGACCATGAGAAGGAGTTGCTAAACCATTTTTGCACATGCTCATATGTTGTGGTTATATTTTTTTTCAAAATGAAGCCTACCCAGGGGCCTCAACCTCAACAACAAAAACAAGCTAGTAGACAGGAATTTGACTTGGGCCCAAATTGAAGCAAAAGCAAGCAGCCGACCAGGAAGGAAGTCTTTCAGGTTGGCGCTTTGCATCGCTGAAGGTGCGCAGGATACATGAGTGAGTGTGAGTGCATAAAGAAAGAAGTAATCATTGAGATTTTTTATTTATCTTTCCTGTATTAACTTTAAATCGAAGCTCGATCAACAAAAACATGCATTATTTTCTTCATTGTAAAATTGTTCAAACACCCTTCGTTCAACCAATTGAAATCAGTTTGCTAAAAATATTTGATTGAAGGCCATAAAATCAAGCGAATAACTTTTATAGTAAGATATTCGATTATTTGCATTTCGTTCAAAAAAATATATTTAGCAAATGAAATTATGACAGTTAATTTGATTATTTAATGACGTCCATGTGTGCGTGTGCTTCGCGTACCTCACGTACCCTGCTGTTCCTTGTTCGGCAAAAACAAGATTTTTGTTTTATTTTCGTCAACAAAAACCAACAAAACTATAAAGTTGCTAAGGTTATCAATGGTACCCGCTGTTTCCCCCGGTTTTAAGTGCTTCTCTCCATTTTAATGGACAAGGTCTCCTCGCACGCAGGTATTAGGTAGGTACCTTGGTAGGTACGACTAATTTGGCCTGAAGCCGACTGGAGTGACTTAAAAAAAAAAATATCTCTGCCATCAACCCAAATAAGCGGTGGCTTCGACCATCTGCGTTATTGTTTTTTTTTCTCCTTCGGCGTCCCATCCATCGTTGCGTGAAGGAACCAATTTCAGGCGCAAATTTGTGGCCTCCTGCGGCCTTGGGGTCGGTGGAAATTGCAACCCCCGAGCGAATATCAGTCTGTCGCGAACCTGTCACTATCCAATAAAGCAATCATCAATTCTCTGATTTGACCTAAGCAGCCGCGTACAAGAAGAGGAGGAGGTCCTAAACAAGCGGTGAAAACAAACAACACGATGCGGCGATGTCTGCACACATGGCTACTTGATCTGACTGACGCGACGCAGCGCAGTAGCCAGTGAGCAGTAGGCTAAACATGCGCTCGCAGTATCAGAGCGGGCGTCGGGGTCAGGATCGGGGGTAGGTAATGAGATTATTGCGAAGCGCATAATCACCTCGCTAATGGATTTTTATTGCTGCAGGTTGAGAGTTAGGGGTGTTCATACCGGACCGGGTTACTCATATATGTCAGGTCTCGTTACAAAAGATCGAAGCGCGTGAGTGCGCTTGTTGATCGTTCAACAATCTCTTTTTCTTCTGCCGGGTTTTCCTGTCAACTAGGGGTTTCCCTACACGGCCAATGAGATCAACCCAAGTTTGAGTTAAGTTTACTCATAAATCGCAAAAAGTTTTTCCAGTATTTCCAAAATCCCGAATATGAGAAAAGTTAAGATTGGATTCCCCCACTTCTAGACTGAGTAAAATTTTCGTCCATTTTCCCCATGTTCTGGAAGCTTTTTGAGGTTTTCCACAGGAAAACAAGAGGCAAATATACTCATCGCTGAGTTCCTGCACTTTTTGCGATTTATGAGTAAACTAAACTCAAATTTGGGTTGACCTCATTGACCGTGTATCACTGATGCGACGACGGTGGCGGTTGCGGTGCTCATCTGCCGACCGTTTGGTCGTTGGGCAAGTATAGGCATTTCGGATTCTGTTTGTGCGAGTAATTTGATTACATTTTAGAATTATGTAACTAAGGCTTCTTTATTAGCTAAACGATTTATTGAATCAACTTACTAGAAAAAATGGTTACTAAACATTTCCTTAATATACGCTAGAAACGTACGCATCTTGGACGTTAAGCGTAGAGCTAGTGGTGCTGGCACATCGGCGGCAAACTTTCTTGGCCGGAGCAGCGGTAGTGGAGCTAGCTTGGCTGTGGCTACCGCTGGTTCTACTGGAGTAGCCGCTGAGACCGGGGTTCTTGACTGAGATATCGCCTTGGGTGCTACCGACGACGCTGTGTTGAGTAGAGCTCACATAGGAAACGGCCGGGGTTGTAACTTTGACAACCGGAGCCAGGGTGGTGCTTGGCACAAATTGATAGTCACTGTGGGAATCGGCGTTGATAATTCCGAGGCTTCCTCCGTTGGAGTAGCTGGAGTATCCACTGTTTCCGAGATCGACGTAGCTTTCGTATCCGGCTCCAGCACCGTTGGTGAAGGAACTGTAGCTGGATCCGGTGTTTCCGAGGTTTGAATATTGGTATCCTTCGCTGCCGCTGCTACTGCCGCTGCTGGATGAACCTGAGTATCCGTTGGATCCCGTTTCGACGTATTGAACAGTTTGTGGGCTACTATAGATGGCTGGAGCAGGAGTGCTGCTGACGTACGAGTAGCTGGCACCGGTGTTTTTCGAGCCAGTGGTACTGTAGGAAGCTGGCGCCAAAGTACTGCTCTCAAAAGAATATTTAGATCCGGCGGAACCAGACGAGTATCCGATGGAACCGCTATCGACGACCTTCACCGACTTTGTAGCAACGACTGGGGCGACATATTTGACCTGTTTCTGTTCTTCCTTCCGGTTCTTGTATTTGATGAAGAAGACTTCGGGTTTGTTCTGCTTGGTAGGTTCCGGCTTTTGAACGATAACTTCTTGCTGGTGTTCAGGTTTCTGGTGCAGCACGTAAACAATGGTCTTCTCTTCGTTGGAAGGCTGTGGGGGAACGACAACGGATTTTGGAGCTGGTGGACTTGGAGCCTTGATGAAGATTATCTTGTAGTGCTTCTGCTTGTGCGAAACTGGTTGAATGACTCGTGGGGATTCGTATTCTTCCTTATCCTCTGGTGGAATATGAACGTAGACATGCTTGAAGACTTCTTCGACCGTATGCTGAGGCTTTACCCAAACACTGGCCTGTTTTTTCTCTCCAGAGCTCCAAGAAGCAGAGCCAAGAGACTGTTGGGCACTTGAAGATCCCCACAGGGAAGCTTGCTGTTCCTGCTGATGACCGCTGCCAGAAGATCCCCAGCTTGAAATCTGCTGTTCTTGCTGATGACCGCTACCGGAAGATCCCCAGCTCGCAATCTGCTGTTCTTGCTGATGACCGCTTCCAGAAGATCCCCAAACAGAAGCCTGCTGTTCCTGTGCTTTCCATGATCCTGCATCGACAACTTGTGGTTGATGCTGCACCTGCAGCACTTGCTGCTTTTCGTAAGTCACTTGGGTTTTCAATGGTTGAACAACTGGAGCTTGATACACATGCGATGTTTGTTGCACTTGCGATAAAATTGGCAGCTGATGCTGGTATTCTACGTTTCCGTGAGCTTCTGGTTCTACACAATCATCAATTTCCGGTGCATAACTTGGAAACGAAGGGAAATAAAGAGTGCTGCTAACCTCCGGTCGATCGTAATGATATCCTTCTGGTGCGGCTAAAGCCACCACTACCACACTCAACACTATCACTAATTTCATATTTGGTCCTTGCAATCAGAATGTCTATTTCTTGAAGCAAAGCACTCTTTCCCAACCGCGAACGTATCGTAATCGAACTTAAAACACAAGTAACAAGGAACGGCCAATGTGCTCCAGTTTTATAGACTTGAACTAGGAAGGACATCGACGTCAACGGCACTTCTGGTTCAACAGCCCCTCAGTCAGTATACTTTTCGGTTCGCTCTACACTCAAACCGATTACATAATCTGTGACCAAAAACCGAAAAATCCATCGTCACACAGAGGCCCTCGTTGTTCGGGTTGTGTATAATACACATGTTTGGACCACTTCTCCGACCAGATCCTGCCTCGGTATGCTAAAAGTACATAACATACTCGGTGTGACAATGACACCCTCCTCCCTACTGTCGATTTGGGCTGGTAGTAGGCTGTGACCCCCAAGAGCACCAAACCGGTAGAGCAACTCTCAATTTCGTCGCTCTGCTGATCTCGGCGTCTTGGATCAAGTTATGTCGCTCAATATTTCGGCTACTTTCGTTCATTTAACTATCACCCGTCATTGGCTACTTGGTGGTAGGTACACCGCATCGTAATCGGTTTTGCGGTGAGTAGTCAGCCGGGTGCCTACTGCGATCTTTCCCTGGAGAGCTTACGAAAGAGAGAAAGAGCCGCACGACAAGACGGCTAATCGATCAATGATCGTTTGTTTCTGAGGACCACGACCGGTTTGGACGAGAGGCGAGGATCCCAATCATCGAGCACCCTACTCACCCAGTGATCCACTGCTCTAGTAAGAGTTACGGTGCGAGGGGGACTTCCACTCAATTTCAGGTGGATGCATATACTGCATGGGGAAATGGAGTAAAACGCGCCGGTGGGGTAATATAACCAACAGCAGTTTGTCGTGGACTTTTCAAACAAAATTTATGGTGGATGTACCAGTTATGGCTTTGGAATTCCCATATGTCATAATTGGAACGCACCATAGCCATAACTGGTACACCGACCCTAATGGTTTTTCTTCCATAACTGCTAGGTGGGCTGATGATCTATCATTTAGTGAAATTTTCACTAGCTTGAAAAAAGGTCGTTGATCATATTACCCCGCTGGCGCGTATTGCACCCACTTCCTCTATAGCGGAAAAAAATTTAAACAAAAAAGTAAAAGTGGCGTGTCCTTCACAGCCGGCCTATGTTGTTGTGTACAGTCTGGATTGTTCCTGGTGTGTGATGCAGTGGAAGATTTCCATCCCGGTGAGGGTAGTAAAAGGGAAAGGATTTTTTTTTGTCTTCGCTTGAGCGGACTGGGAACTTTGGGAATGGACTGTCTGTAGCCTTGATGAAGTTTGCGTAATAATCGTAGGTTGATGATCCATCTTGAAAAACAAAGTTTTTCATTTGTTCCAGTGATTGGAAGATTCAGAAGTTAAATTTTACATGATCGTACACTGTTATTTGTGATGTTAAAATACACGTTCTGTGCATCTTTGAGAATGCAGTGCCTTCTAGTTTTTGACAACATAATTTCATCAGTTATTGCTTTAACAAGTATTGACCAATATTTTTTGAATATTTTTAAAAACATCACCAGTCAATCTAATTTCTAATCCCTGAATAACGGTGTAGTAAAATGTCATAAATTCAAGTTAGTGTTTGATGAATTTGATAGAAACTAAATAAATAAATAAGCACGTGTTGCCAAAAACAGGGAGCCGCTGTAATTGTAAAGTGATAGTCGTAACCTCACCGTTCGAGCTTGTATCGAAAAGATACGAGGTATTAACATTTAGGTCATAGAAAGGCTACTTATCGTCGTTCACTCGTGTGTTTTTTTTTTTCAAAGTGAGAAGTTCTACGCCAAATGACGTAACATCTCTGATCACGCCTTTCTTCGGAAGGGAAGTAAAGCCGTTGGTCCTCGGTTCATGAGTTGATGGATCGATAGGTAGGGTCTAGGTGTGGGCTGCCTCGCTGGCGTCGGTAGCATTGGTGCTCAAAACGGAAAACAAATCAAGGGAAAAAAAATGACAAATCGAAAAAAAAACTCGACCTTCTCCGATTTGCATGAAACATTGCATAATTGTTTGTTATGTACAATGATTCACATTTTTGCTAAAATCCGGTCATTTTTAACCTTGGAACATTTTCAAGCCTTAATAAAGGGCGAACACGAAATTATTGCGACACCGAAAATGTCATGCCAATTTTCTTATAATGTTTAGAATCAAACCAAAAATTGAACGCATTTTCGCTTGATGCCCTCCATCAAAGTCTTTACAGTGTCATCTGGTACCAGTTCCTCAGTTTTTTTTTTTCCATTTTCTTAACATGTCCTTCTCGTCTTTGACTATCTTCTTGCTCTTCCGAAGTTCGCGCTTCATTATTGCCCAGTACTGCTCCACCGGGCGCAGCTCCGGACAGTTTGGCGGATTCATGTCCTTTGGAACAAAATGGACAGAATTGGCCTCATACCACTCCAGGACACTTTTAGAATAGTGGCATGATGCCAAATCTGGCCAAAATAGCGGAGCTTCGTCGTGCTGCTGCAAGAACGGCAAAAGGCGCTTCTCGAGGCACTCAGATTTGTAGATCTCGCCATTTACTGTGCCCTTTGTCACGAAAGGCTCACTCCTCAGTCCGCAAGAGCAGATGGCCTGCCAAATGAGATATTTGGAGGCGAACTTCGACATTGTCTTCTTCTTAAATTTGTCGTCCACATCGAACTTGCTCTTGCCGGTGAACAACTCCAACCCCGGAATTTGCTTAAAATCGGCTTTTATATACGTTTCGTCGTCCATCACACAGCAGCCATATTTTGTCAGCATCTTCTCGTAGAGCTTCCGTGCCCGAGTTTTAGCCGTCGATTGTTGCCGCTCATCGCGGTTTGGGAAGTTCTGTACCTTGTATGTATGTAGTCCAGCTCTCTTCTTTGCATTCTGGACGTAGCTCTGCGACATGCCGATCTTTTTAGCCAAATCACGGCTTGAGACGTTGGGATTTGCTTTAATCATCCGCTTCACCTTTCCCTCCGTCTTTTTGTTCTCCGGTCCCGGTTTTCTTCCAGCTCCTTTGCCGTGGTCCAACGTCAACCGCTCCTGGAACCGCTTCAACACTCTGGAGACGGTTGAATGGTGAATGTTCAACATTTTTCCCAACTGCCGGTGCGACAGGTCAGGAAATTCCAGGTGTTTGGAAAGAATTTGTTCTCTCAACTCGCGTTGGTTCACCTCCATTTTCTTTGAATCGAAAAACACGACTTCGAGTTTGACAGCATGTACACAATACACATCAATGAGAAAGTGTGCAAAATTTGGTTGATTTTTACTCAATTGTAAACAAGTTATGCCCTGTTTAATGTGTCGCAATAATTTCGTGTTCGCCCTTTATCCCTAAATGTCCTAGCCCGTTTTTTTAATTTCATTAAAAAAACTGTTACTGTTGAGATTATTTAACCTAGATTTTGTAACATATTAATTAAATGTTTGTTTGTTAGTAGGTTAGTAAAGTAAATAATTATAAATGTTAGTAAATGTTAATGCTACAAATTGATAAATACTCCGGAGTAGCTAATAATAAGGACATAATTTGTTAACACACTTCACACCACAACACACACTACACAACAGTATGAAGTGAGCCAAAAAGGGAAAACAAGAGTTGCCACAGATACCAGGACTGGACACGTCAAAAAGGGAACATGAACAAAGGGTATGGAAAAAGGAGGGTCAAACTACCGGGTAATAACTTGATAAGCGTCTTTCTTATCCAGAGCTTCGAAGCGTTAAGTTTGCTATCCTCCATAAAAATAAATCAGAGATAAAGAAGTTTATTTGAAATCACCGTTACCAAATTTGATTTGGAAGTTAAATACGAATCAGGTATGGAGTAAAAGGACATAGCACAAAACAGAATAAAGTAAAAAAAATACCCGGTAGCCCTCCTAATACCCACCCTGGGACGTTCTTTCCTTAGGACCCATTATTAATCGCCTGAATTGTCCAGCAAGTTATCCGCCATTCCGGCGTGCGATTGGACTTCCAGCGCCGACGTCTGAAGGAGTGTGATCCGCCAATCCGGCGTACGATCCGTCCCTCTTGGATTCGGCGTAGGCATTACCCCGAGCGTCAAGGCAAAGGCGACATTCCCGCATTTCGTGCTTGCATCCGGCCGCATCGTGAGACACTACCCACATACACACACACACAGTAAGTCGAAATAAAAAGCTAATTAACAAGAGAGAAAGTGCTTTCAATTCCTTGATCGAACAATCCTACCTACAGCCGACCCTGAAGGTTCCTCTTTCATGCTCGAGCTAAAGCCAGTAAAAAAAGAGGTTGTTGTAGAACCCACCCTCAGTGATCCCCGTTGGCTAGACCAGGGATCGAGGGCTTAGCGAAGTGGTCCGTCTGACCGCTTTTAACAAAACTTATGAAAAATGCAGGCTATATGGACACCTGAAAATTGACAATAATTGTAGAACAAGAAATTTTGGACAAATGTTTGATAGTTTTTATTAAAACGTTGTTTCATGTTTTCATACGCTGATTTTTTTTGCATTATTACCGTGATTTTTAGCCGTAGGCTAGTTCATCACGTATTTCATTACGCTGAAAACAATGTTTCAGAAATTTTGAAAAGTACTAAAAAAGTAAAAAGTTGTTAGTACGTTAATTCAAAAATTGAACCAAAATCCTTATTCTACGATCTTTGTTAGAATTCAAGATTTAATGTGTTTGAAATTGAAAAAAATAAATTTTTCATAAGGTTTTTTTTTATATAAGAATTTTAAAAATCCGGCGAGGTTATTTTGAAATATTTGGGTTTTATTTGTTTTGAATTTTTACTTTACAAATAATCACAATTTTCTCTTCTTTTCTTTCTTCTTTCCTTTATTTAAAGTCGGTCTCTGTTCTGAAATCTAGTGCCAATCACCAACGGACAACGATTGCCATCTATTGACGGCAATCGAATGTGCAAGAACGAAGCTTCCAAACCGCACCCATTAAATTCAACAAACATGGGCCGGGACCAACGGCTTCACTTCCCTTCCGAAGGAAGACGTGACCAGTGATTTTTATTCCTCAGAAAAATCCCACCGACCTCGGCTGGGATTGAACCCAGACCCATTGGGGTGAGAAAGCAGTCACGCTTACCACTACACCACCGGCGTCAGCTGATAATTTTCTCAGAAAGGCTGAATAAAAGTACGTACCAAACAAAAAGACCTCTAATTCGTGATTCAATAAGTTTAAAAAGTTCATTAATGGTACTTTTATTAAAACATCAACCTTACATTTCTCCAATTCGAACGAAAGCTCGAACCTTCCTCTTGATGGAGCCCATCAGCGCCCGCACAGTTTAAACGGACACGGAATCAGCGCATTTTTTTTCCATTTTTCTCGCATTTGCTATATGTTCTTGACTGCCGCGCTGCTTCGTCGAAGTCGCTGCTATGAAATTGCCCATTATTTTCGATTGGTCGAAATTCCGGGCTATTCGGAGGATTCATTAGCTTGAGGACAAAATCGATCTTGTTGGCAGCGTACCACTCCGGAACCAACTTGGAGTAGATGACTTTGCCCCTATGCTTGCGGATGAACGGAAATACACGCTTTTTCAGGCATTTTTCGATGTAAACTTGGGATGTCATTGTTAACGATGTGACGAATGGTTCCGTTTTCAGGCCACAACTTCAAATCGCTTGGCAAATCATGGCCTTCTTCACGAACTTGTCGGCAAACACGAACTTGAATCTTCCCGGCTCATCCCCATGTCCAGTCACGATGTAAAACTTTTGACCGGGAAGCTGCTTAAAATCGAGTTTGACGTATGTTTCGTCATCGATCAAAGTGCAGCCCTTGTGTTTCGTCAAAACACGATCGTACAAGAGCCTTGCACGCTTTTTGGCTACGGAATTCGGCTTCATGTGCCGGTTCGGATGTTTACTGGCTTTGTGCGACTTGTATCCTTACCTGGAAAGGATGTTCCGCACCGTTTGAAAATTGGCGTTGTACCTTCTGGCCACATCTCGGCTTTAACGCACTTCAACACCTTGCTGCGCAGCTGACGATCCCTGGTTCCAGATTTTTTCGTAGGTCCGCTGATTCCTCTTCACACTCTTGTAGGTTTTGAGCACTCCATGATCTGTTGTTTTCGGCATCCTCAGCACTTTAGCCAGCTTGGAACCGGACCACTCTGGATTGATCGAGTTCCATTTGACGTTATTTCTGAACGCGATCGACTACTTTGATCAAACGTGCACCAGTTGTTCTCTATTGACAAATCCAAGTTTATGCCGGCCACCGCGGCGCTCTTATCGTAGCGGTGATGAACTTGAGATCATCTGTCAAACTGCATATATTTTCAAGTTTGTGATAAGAAAACTATGTTTTACCTGTTATTGTAATTGCTTTATTCAATAACAGAAAGCAAATATGAACAGAAAAGTAGCGCCGGTAAGAATGGTAAGTAAATCCTAATTCTTAAAAGTAAAATTATTGATATTTCTTCAAAATGAAAAATATGTTGCTCCCAGCAAAACACCAACAAACAATATATTGTTCCATCCGCAGAAACATCATCTTTCCTATAGCTGAACCTGAATCTTTCTTTTAGCTGAAAGAATATAGCTGAACGGAAACCCTTTCTTCTCTGGCATAAATAGAATCTCTCTGGTTAGTAGAATTAGATATTTAAGTGCTAAATTATTGAAATAGCATTGTAATAAACAAAAATCGTACCTCTCACGCCAAAGTCACGAGTTCAAATCTCACCCCCGGACAAGTCACGAATGACCCAAGAGTGTTAAAGTGACTATAATAAAAAAAAAAAAATCGTAGAACAAACATGATAAACCCAACTAACTCCCTGCATGCTACCGTATTAAACCAACAACCAGCATCGGGTGCCTGCATTGGAATACATTTTACAAAAGGGGCTCTTCTATTTTTATTTAGTTTGGTTGGTCACGCCCTAATAAAAAATTACCATAAACGAACGATAACCCAAATCATTGAACTATTCCACAAATGGTTTGGATGATACCTTGAACACGGCATTAAGCAAATTAACCATAACATTTTTATTAGGGCGTCTCCATATCAACATTAATTGATGTGATATGGCTGTTAACATAACCATGTCCATAACCTTAGCATGTTTTTTCAATTAAATTTGGAAACTAGTAATTTTTATTTTAGGATGGACACATCTTACAATAGATTTTTAGGTTTTGTACAAAATTCAGTCATTTTAATAGCATATTTACACGAACTAGCACTGTAATTTAACAAATTTCCATAAAAATAATGAAATTTACAAGGGCTGTGACTATCTGATCACCTCCGGATAGTGCTTATTCCTGTCACCAGGCGCGCATTAGTTTAAGTTGGATTCGTCAATACGCCTTTTTAATGCACCACCAACGTAGAGTGCGCCACGCGAGTTCGAGAAGAAACGTCAACCAAACCGTTTGTTTACATCAGAATAAGTAATTTTCCCCAACGCAAATAACAGCATTTTTCATTCAAAATCTTGCCAATTTCCATCGGTAATTGTCTTATTGTACGATTTTCCACAAATCTGAAATGATTTGCACCTTAACTATTCACACACAAGAAATCCGGAAGATCATAACCACTAAGGCACTATTCTAATTTTCCATTTTTCTCAACAAAAATATTCCTGAACACCAGCAGGATTTTTTCAAAAACGTTACAGAATTAAATTTTTCAACTGTAGATTAAGTTTTGCAGCATCTCAGATGAATCAATTGATCAGGAAAAGTAAAAAAGTGTTCCACTTCCTATGTCTCAAGGCAAAAAATTATGCTCACAACACTCTTTTTGACGTTCTCCTATTCACCACAGAGGTTGAATCGATTGTTTAGTTTCTATTAAAAAGGCCTATAGAAGTGTCGATTCCCAACACTAGAGGCGTGCTAGCGGCACACGCACAGGAGAGCAACACCTGTGATCTGCGAACAACTCCAATGAAGCCAAATTTCGCTGGTGCTCTCGTGCTCTGGTGCTAATTTGACAGCTCTTCCTTTTCCTCTATGATTAAGCTTGGTACATGTCGCGCCGCGTTGCGGAAAATAGTTACAGTATTCTAAAGACTGGACTCGGAAAAAATGCGACACTTTGTTTTGGGTGTGGGTAAAAATTAATGAAATTTTGGGTAATACTAGTTTAGAGTGTTATGTATATGTGTGCAAAATTTTATCGCGTTCTGTCAAGTAGTTTTCAAGATGCATTCGAAACAAGAAGAGCTACGCCAGCAAATCTTGGGCGCGGTGATCGATAATCCTGGTCAGTCGCACAGATGGATCGGCAAAAGGCTTGGAATTCACCATTCCACCGTGTCCCGCATTGTGAAGATGTTTCAGGAGACGAAGACCATCGAGCGGCGTGCTGGAAGCGGCCGAAAACCGAAAACGAAATACCCAGAGAAGGCGCGGAAGATAAGGCAGTACTTTAAGAATAACCCGAACCTTTCCACCCGAGACGTGGCCAAAAAGGTCAATTCGTCGAAGTGATTCGTCCAGCAGACCATGAAGCGGACTAGGCTACGTGTTTTTTAGGTCAGGAAGGCGCCAAACCGGGCTGACAAACAAAACACGGTGGCCAAATTGCGTGCGCGGAAGCTGTACCGTGAGTGGCTGGTCAAGCCAGGCTGTCTCGTCATGGACGAAGAGACATACATCAAGGCGGACACCAAATAAATCCCCGGCCTCGAGTTTTTTTTATCGGTACGTCCCGCATGGTGGTTCCGGAAATGTTCCGGAAGAGAAAGATGGACAAATTCGCGAATAAGTACCTGCTGTGGCAGGCGATCTGCGAGTGTGGACGGTACAGCAAGCCGTTCGTTACAACCGGCACCATAAACGGGCAGATTTATCGAGAGGAATGCTTGCAGAAGCGCTTGCTGCCCTTCCTCCGCTCTCACCGTGGTCCCACGCTGTTCTGGTCGGATCTCGCTTCGTGCCATTACGCCAAGCCTGTAATGGATTGGTACGAAGCGAAGGGCGTTAATGTGGTCCCGAAGGAGGTGAACCCGCCAAATACACCAGAACTTCGTCCGATCGAAAAGTTTTGGGCGATAATGAAGAAGAAGTTGAAGAAAAGCGGAAAAACATTCAAAACCGATGAAGCTTTGAAGAAAAACTGGGAGAAATTGTGTAAGGAAGATGGGCAAAGCCTCGCCCAAGATCTCATGAGTAGTGTTAAGAGAAATGTACGAGCATTCAGCTTGGGGGAGGAAATTCAATAAATAAATTATGCCAAAACATAGCTAATATATAGTTATTTAATCCCTGAAAATTTGAGAAGTATCCGATTTAAAATGAATTTTTGGTGATCATTTTTGTGTGTCTCATTTTTTCCGACTTTAGATAACGTTATAGGAAAGTAATAATGGTTTTGAAGGCATTACATTTGTGGCCATGGTTGGATGATTACATGTTATAGATCACCATCGCTGCTTAAATTTTCGGCAGTTTCAAGAACTGGATCGCATTGCGGGGGGTTGGGCGCACGAGGGGCGTACCAATTTACTTTTAGTCAACCTTTACAACTTAGTCTCGGACGACATGTGAATAATTGCCCATAACAAACAATTACGCAAAGTTTCATACAAATCAGAGATTTTTTTATCGTTATTTTAGCCTGGAACTGCTCAGCTACTTTGCGGACAACACTGTATTGTGCAGTGTGACATAGTAGCCATGATTTTTGTGCTCTATTCAGAGGGTCAGATATATTCTGCCGTGTGACAGTGAGGTGATGTATACGCCACCATGGCCAATTTTCGCTTTTTTTTTTGAATATTCAGTGCATCAAACAGCACCTATTGAGGCAAAAAAGATCCATTGAACATCTCGATTTTGCAGCAAAGTAACGTCCGTAGAACAAAATTTCAAAAAATAAATTCGATTTCTCCTAACATCATCTTCCATGAGGATGTCAATTAGGGCTATAATTATTGATTGAAATCAAGCTGCAGTGCAAATTTACCTCATCAGAAAAAAAGCTTCTGCTGAACAATTTTGATTTTAGCGCTTACGTCACATTGCATAGTGGTCCAGAATAAGAATTTAGCAGGATAGATGGATTGAGAGCCTAAAATTTAAAAAAAACAGAAGAAACGTGTCTTCTACAAAGGTGTTTCTAACACAAGGGGTAATCGAATCTGCACACTGTGCAGAAACACAGCATGGCACACTGTTCGGCACGCTAGGGCACACGTTCACAAATAGTACACAAATATTATAGTATTAAACGGCATCACTGTCGAGTGTAGTCGTTTTGCCAATCGTTGCTAAGGTTCTTCTTCTTCTTGTTTCCTTTATTTAAAGTCGGTCTCTGTTCCACAATCTACACAGCAAAAAAAAATGTACACACCAAAAAATTCTGAATTTTACTGGCGATGTAAACATCCATGCATGCAAACATTCATACATGTAAACTTCCTTTTCACGTAAACTAGCAGCTTGCAAGAAATGTTGCAAACAAAAGTGGACAGTTGCATACAATTTATGGAATATTGCATTACATGTCTCATAAATTTACACGATCTATAATCAAAACTTGTATGATATATGACGCTCCATTTATGTGCATCATAGTAACGGGAATTTACACTAAAGGGTGATACGGTCAAAATTTGGTCAAGGGAAAACGCGTGTAAATCGGTGAAATCGTTTATTTAAAAAATCAAATTAAATTTCTTTTTCAAGTTCAATTAGTATAAAATTCAGGAAAAATATTCAGTTAGGCTTCCGCTTTTCCAAATCCGAATTGCCGGGCCTTACGGTTGACCCCTGCCATCAGATTTTGTACAGCCACCTTGTCCACCTTCTTCGCCGCAGAAAGCCAGTTTGCCTTGAACTGCTGCTCGCCCTTAGCAGTTTTTTTGGTCTTCTTTAGGTTCCGCTTGACAATAGCCCAGTATTTCTCAATTGGGCGGAGCTCTGGCGTGTTGGGAGGGTTCTTGTCCTTGGGAACCACCTGCACGTTGTTGGCGGCGTACCACTCCATGGCCTTTTTACCGTAATGGCAAGATGCCAAATCCGGCCAAAACAGTACGGAACAACCGTGTTTCTTCAGGAAAGGCAGCAGACGTTTATTCAAACACTCTTTCACGTAAATTTCTTGGTTGACAGTCCCGGAAGCTATGAAAATGCTGCTTTTCAAGCCACAGGTACAGATGGCTTGCCAAACCAGATATTTCTTTGCGAACTTTGACAGTTTCATGTGCTTGAAATCATCTGCTACCTTTCCCCTTCCTTTTGCCGTATAAAACTCCTGTCCCGGAAGCTGCTTGTAGTAGTCCATTACCACGCAGTCAAACTTCGTCAGCATCGTCGTGTACAGCCTCCGGGATCACGCTTTGGCCGTCGTATTTTGTTTATCATCGCGATTTGGAGTCACTACCTTCTTGTAAGTCGATAGTCCGGCTCGTTTTTTGGCTCGATGCACGGTTGTAGACGATACACCCAGCTTATTTGCGGCATCTCGGAGAGAGAGGTTAGGGTTTCGCTTGAAACTACCGGCAACTCTCTTTGTCGTCTCAGCGGCTTCCGGTTTTCGATTTCCCCCCGATCCAGACTTCCTGGCTGTCGACAAACGTTCCCCAAACACTTTAATTACATTTGTAACGGTTGATTTGGCAACTTTTAGCGATTTTGCCAACTTTGCGTGCGAGTAGCTCGGATTTTCGCGATGCGCGAGCAAAATTTTGATACGCTGCTCTTCTTGCTTGGACGGCATTTTGACAACTGAAGAGTGAATTCCAAAATCAAAATAGGAGCAACATTCTTCACACACACACACCTTCAAAATCAGGGGTGTTCAGGGTTTTTAAATGCAAAATTGAAAGAAATACGTCAAGTTGATATTGACCAAATTTTGACCGTATCACCCTTTACTTTTTTAGCTGTGTAGCTATCTTCAAAGGGAGACCTTTTTTAATTAATTCATTGAATATATTCAAATCAATATTGAAAGATACCATTTATACCCCGTTCACATTACAGCGTATATCACGTGATATACGTTGTCTTGCAATGAGCACTCATACATCTATTTTTCACTGGAAATCCTATGAGTGCTTATTGCAAGACAGCCTATATTACGTGATATAGGCTGTAATGTGAACGGGGTATTAGCAAGGTTTTTGTCAAAATATTAAGAGGCACAATAAAATATAAAACAGAAAAGTACTTTTTCTCACTGAACAATCTCAAACAATCACACACTTAATCTAGCTCGGTAAAATCTGAGATCTCAGCAAACATTTCATTTGTTTGCTGAGATTCAGCTAATCATCATCGAGACTCAGCAATCAAATGTCACTTTTGCTGAGATCTCAGTGAAACTTTTTTTGCCGAGATTTGCACAGCCGAGCTCGGTAGATAAAACTAAGTGTGTGGATAACACGGGACCTTCCTTAGCATGGCTATTTCACCCCCATCTCCCCTACCGTAAACCGGAGGAAAGAGGATGACTGTTTAACGTGAACTAATTTCTGTAGCTATGATGAGAACTATATAACTCTCCATGATTACGTAGCATATAGATCCTTAATCTAGCTCGGTAAAATATCCAACAGCCGATTACCTCGGCATTTACTTTTGCTGATATCTCTGAAAAATATCTGTTTGTTAGCAGATATCTCAGCAAAATGTTATTTGTTAGCTGAGTCTCGGCAATTGTTTTACTGAATCTCAGCAAAATAAATTGCATAATAACTCGGATGTTGGAATCTTGGCGAAAAAATTAAAGTGTATAGGATGTTTAATATATTTTTAGGAAATTTTGGAGCTTTCAAATTTGAAAATGTCGATATTTGGTGGAATCTACTCCCTTAAAATAGCTTCCCAGTGCATCTTTAGTAAATATGCTTTATACATTTGGGGTCCCTGAAGCCAACTCAGCTAAAATGACAAAATAGGAAAATCCTCTAATTCTACTTTTGCGTAATATTTTACATAATTTAAATTCAGTGACACTTTAGACAAAAAGCAACTTCAAAGCTAATTCCAGCAGTCGTTGCAGCCCTATAATCTTTTAATCTTTTGATAGATAGGGTTTACCAAAAATTTCAATTGTGGTTTTCTGAACAGGTAGCCATACGAATTTTCTCAGGATCAACTATGGCAAACCGTTAAGTTTTTATCCTTTTCCAAAACGCAGAAGATGGTTTTTGGATAATACACATCTCAAAAGGAGCAGCTCTTAGAATTTGTATAACAAGGGAATCCTAAACTAAAAATTTTAACAACAGAAATTAAAAACTCTTACTCAATTACTACAAGAAATTTTATACACTTTCCATATTTGCAATAATATTAAGTGTTGCTAAAGAGAACTGAAAAACATAGAGTCAACACGTTGTAAAGTAACGGTACAATGAGATTCAATGATTGATCCAATCATTAGATCTCATTCTACCGTAACGTAACAGCGTGTTGACGACAGCTATTCTGAATGACTTCTGTTTCATTAAAATTGAATTCTGTTGAAATCTGCTCCAATGGAAAATTTTCGAAATTCCTGTAAATCAGCAAGAAGATTTGAAAAATGTCCTTCTCATTCCATGATTTCCCCCCACGTGAACATCACATGCACACCTCAGCAATGCGCCCTTCGCACATCGAAAGCAACAACGGACGGTGAAGAATGCTACCGTTTTCGCAATAGGCACGTTTGTTGGTTAAAAATCCATTTAGCTTCGCTTGTGTCATCTCCGCATCAGATAGCACGTCATGTAGTGCACCGTCCGTCATCATCGTGGCCGTCATCCGCCGGGAAATCCAAGTGGGCCGGTTGGCTGGCTGTTGAAAGCGAAAATGTCACCCACCGACCGGGGCAGTCAGCTGAAAAAAAAAATCTAGGTTATGATCATTTTCACATTGCAGACTCCCCGCGCCTGCACATGTTCGGCACCTCGGATTCTTCTGCTAATGATGATGATGGGAGATGGGTGTGTTTTCCTATAGTTTTCCTCTCCACAGCGTATCATTATCCGTCGTTATAAAGTACGCGGGCTATGGATCAATGGTTGGTGGTGCGTTATGAGTCGAATATATCTTCCACCATTAAACAGCCGTAACCCGAGGGCACGGACCGGGAGGTTGCGCTGCGCGGATAGAACTTGCTTCACCTAGCCGTTCGTAAACTTGACATTTACGAACGGTGCAAACGTTTCGTTAAATTGGGCGGAAACGGGGACATCAAATATGCTGTGAAATGAGATTTTGACGGGGTTCT